GAAGATGCATATCATGTGGAACTTACAAAAGATGCAACGTTTTATAAATGAATGACTCTTTCAGAGAATAAGCAATTAGATAGAAAATATTTTCCAGACAACATGTAGACGATTGTTGGAAGAAGTCAACAATTTATAACAAAAACAAATTTTTATTTGTAAGTTAATTTTCTTGCGATTTTGTTGAATTCATTTTTTTTATGTAAATAGATTAATAATTTTCAACTGTCGAAATGTTGAACATCAGTAGCTTATGTAGCTCAATTTAATAATATTAATAAGATAAGAATAAATTAGGCAATGTTTCATATGTACTGTAAAGCAATAGCAGTAGTAGTATTTAATAGTGTTAAAGTATCATTTATGTTAGTATAATAATAAAAGTAATATTTAATAGCAGTAGAATTTGTACTACTAGATTTAGTGTTGTACTAGATTTAGTGTTTTGTAACATTATTTCACTTTTAGCGAGTAGCGCCTTTAACCTTTCATCGTTTTTAAAATGCATTCACCCGGTCCTTTTACACTATGAAGAATTTTCAACGGATGATTACGAATGAATGAATGAATGAATGCATGAATGAACGAACAAAAGAACGAATGTATGAATGAATAAATGAATAAATGGACGAAAGGATGGAAAAACGAATGAATGCTTTTAGTGTACTCTCTTGATCAATTTTCTATGATGAAAATCAACAATTTTGAATTAGTGTATAGTGCAGACTCAACCAAAAGAAATAAAATCCTAAAAAATTATTTGAAATGTTTCAAAAGTCTGTGCGTTCATATTTGCACTTTTTCCATTTTTTCAACTTTTATTTTATTCAATACACTGGAATTTTTAATATAAATCGTTATTCCTATGTTAAAGTTTTATATGTTGCACAAAGAAATGGCATAATTCAACAACTATATAATCTGCTAACTCGAACATTAAACAATTTATCAAAATCTCAACAAAACGTTAGCATTACGACACATAATTTCCATATTTTCCACATAAATAACTTCATCCAGACCATCAAGTTCAGCAGGAAAATAACAACTTTCCAATGAGATCATTTTTCATAATCTCATCAGCAAAATTTGATCCTCCAAGCGAAGATAAGTTTGATGAATGACCATCACGACGAACGCCATGTTATTTCGTTTAATTAATCAAAATATTTTTTCGGTAAAGTTAATCTTGTTGCCTTCCTTTTTCTTATTTTGGCGTCAATTTTAAAATGTATGTAGTTCTGTGAAAGAAATTTTATAATTAGTAGCTTGGTGTTTGACCGGTTATGTCACCTTTTTTAATCATTCTTATTTGTTTAGGATCAACAACTTACATATTGAATAGTTTGGTTTGAATTTTGTTTTCATATTATTCCTAAATTTGTAGTATTGAATAAAATTCGTTTTCATTATAATAAAAAATGCTTTAAGTTTGTTTATTTATTTGTCTGCCACGATATGAAATTGGTTTAATGAGGAGGTTAAATTAAAAACTCTTAAATGTTGAAGCATTTATAATATAACTTTTCATTTTTCCATATAATTCATGAGAGTGCCATAAACTTTGAAGTGGAAGGCTGGTTCGACTTCAAACAAATCCTCACTTTCAACACGCGATGTGGTTTGACTCGCTCATTTATGCGTGTGCTTGTCTATCTGTTACGGGCATTTTCAAATAAACAAAAAAGAAATAATCATATAAAAATCCTATGTTAAAAGAATATTTTGATATAGAAAATCCATTCGCATAAAAATTGTTAAAATTATCATTCCGAATTGTCAACTTTTTTTATCAGTATCTATCGCTACAGAAATCTTCCAAGCTTGAAGTTTTTCTAAAATTGAAATTCACGTATAAAGATGCTTATCGGAAAAACGACTTGCTTTAAATTTCCGCAAAACTTTAACTTTATTACAATTTTGTTTACATTGCCACATTCATTCCTGTCTTTTTAAGAGTTTTTTATATTAGGAAAAAAGGAGAAAACATTTTCAATGACTTTTTGAGTTTTTGTTTCTTACAATATACACAAAAAAAGGCTAAAACTCTATCCAACACTAATATGAGTAGACAATTCTTTAAAAATCATTTAATAAATAACTGATGGCTTAATTTTTAATAACCAATTTTGATCTGATCAATGTTCTCCATAATATTTTTGGGATTATTTTCAACTGAAAATTTTTTAATTTATGATCACAAAACCATGTATTTTTGTATTTTTTCTTATTATTTATTAACTAGATTATAATATATATATATATATATATATATATATATATATAATAATGCCCAGCGTGTGTCACCAATTAAACACTAAAGAGCCACCAAGCAGACGAACAGCATTTACAGCACATTCATCACCCCCAGACATAAACAATTCAACGTGACTCAAACACAAACACGAACCTGTCATAAATGCCTTGAAATGTTTTTGCACATATAACCGCATGGAAATGGAACTACAAATTAACTCTTGTGTTAATACGGAAGCACACAAACATACATACCTGCAAGCATATTTACAAGGACTTGGAATCATTTCATCAACCTTACCCAGCAAACAGGTTGCATAAGGACATGTTATGGACCAGGACGGCTTATAATGCGCCTATAAAAAGAGCCATGCCGTGCAGATAAAAGTTGAGTGATTCAAGTTTCGTCAATGAAAATGCGCCCATTCGTTCATTTATGGCGGCAAAATATTTGTTTTTAACGCGTTTCTACAACGCCGCATTTAATTTTGCTAACAAGCAGCACGAATATTAGCATTAAATGTTGGATTAACAATTTTTAAGTCGGATTGCTTGATGATGAGGATGAGTAGGACTGTGCAGAGCTTTCTGGGACTTTCCTATATGAAATAGAAACGCTTGAAACGTTTCTTAAATGGGACTATAAAAACAATAATTTAAACTGAATCAATGTTAATTAGGGCTGGGAGCATCGCAGGCGATCAAAACAGAAGGTTCACACAACCACGTCTGCCTGCGTTTGTTCTCCGATCATAATTATTTTGGATAGTAATGAATGGATGGATATTTCGCGTGAACGAAATTGTTAAACAAATTGTGGCTTTTTAAATTAAGCTGTTATGAATGTTATTATCATTCAGACGTTTTTGGTCGGGGTTATTGTTGCTTATTTCATGTTTTAAAATATTTGGTAAATTGGTGATTATTTTTTATTTTTTAACATTGACAAGTATGAACAAGTGTTGATATGGGTTGTTTAAACTTTTGTTTTATATTGAAGTTTACGAGGATAATTTAAAATTATGAAATATATTTGCTATGATATTGGTGATAGACACTGCATACTCTTTGATCAATCAATCCATAAAATATATTTACATGGCATGTATTTGTACAATTCAATGACGCTAAAGTTTAGTGATGACTTTGTAAATGGCAGATGCAGTGGGACTCAAATTTTTATTTCAAATTCCCTAGAATTTTTAAAATATTAAAAGATGTGTTATTAAGATTGGCACGATCCTCAAAAGTTTAGAGACTAAGCTAAAGTAATGCCTACGATTAAATCTACACGCGTCATATTTTCCAAGTTAATCTCTTTAAATGCTTAAAGTAAAATTATGAATTTCTGCTTATAACAATCTTCACGTTGAATCAAGATGACAACTAAAAAAAGTTAGAAAAACATGTAACAAAGTTTTAAATAGAAATTTAAAAATGATATCAAATGAAAATATAAAGAAAAAGCAAAGAAATATAGTTAGGACAAGAAAAAGATAGAAAGAAAAATAAGAAATAATAATATGATAAAAAAAATTGAAGAGATAAGCGAAAAAACTTTTTAAAAATAATGAAAGCCTCACTTCAGTCCACGAGTTCAGATAATCCAGAGCCTTTTGTTAGATAAGCCACATAATTTTTTTAAAGAAATAATTTATTTTTAAGATTCAAATTTTATTTATTTAAATATATACTTTATTTTTTTAAGATATATAATTTATTTTTTCATACAAATTTTGAAATTGTGGCATTTTTCAAGTTTGAAATATTTCATTGATTTGTACTTTGTGCTCTTCTTCCTTTGATCTGTGTGTGAATTTTTTGGTTTAATCTTTATAGTTCTTAAAATTGGAAACAAATTATTTCAAAACTTTTATGCATAGCGTTGTTTTAGATAAAAATTTCAATTCTATTGAAATTTCTGGAGAAAAAGATTTCTTTTAAGGTTTTAAAAATGATTCTATTGTTTTGCCCGCCTACTCATAGAATCGCGCATTTCATAATTTCTAATTCTTAAATTTTCGTTAAAAGTTCTTTTTTAAGGATCATTTAATTTTATTCTTCATTTGATTTTGAAAACACGTTCTTAGGACTCCGTAATTACATGAAATAATAATTTCCTCCATTTTGATGATTGCGTATATTCATAAAAAAAAGTATGACAAAGTTTTGAACCAGGAACAATTTAAAAACTAAATCGAAAATTCACAAATGCCGTTTATTGACGCTTTGAATCATCAATCAAAAAATATTCTCGGCATTGGTCGAAACCTTCAATGCATATGTTAGATACCTTTTTTTCAACACGCTTTATTGCCACAATGTTTCAAAATAAATTGAAGACCGAATCGTTATCTTTGCCATCCATTTGTAAACAGATCTATCAAACATCGTTTTTGATCTTTTCGTCGATACGTCGTTCGATCACGCATTCAATCACTTGCAAGGAATAAATGCATTACATCATCCCATGTTGATATCTTTCATTGGAACGTATCATCTGATAGGACGTGGTGAAAATTAATAATAGTAATAATTATTTTGTTATTCGCATAAAATTATTTGCTAAACGAGTGTCGCTGAATTATTCTGTAAATTATTATCATTAAGTGGTAAATAAATCAAGATAAAACCTTGAAAATATTTTGGGAAAAATGTTCAAAAGCGTACCTGAAAAAATAGAAAAAAATTTAAATTTAATTCAAACATCTGAGTTTTTTGATGGCATTCCAATGCTCAATCCTTTATTCAAATGGCAATCTGTGGACAGGCCTGTGTAACAGATGATAGTGGTGAAATATGACTCCCACAGTTTCATACTTGTCCTTTAGTTTGTAAGTTGGATAGTAAGTATATGTATGTGAGGATGTTTGCATTTGTGTACGTGTGCATAGGCATGTGCAAGTATGTGCGTGCCTGTGTGTATGTATGTGTAGTTTTGTTTCAACATTTGGAAATGTGTTTGTTCATCAGCTTAGAAATTTGTAAACCTCTTCATATTTACATGTTGTTGGGCTCCCAGCTTTGAGTACACAAATTTAAGATTTTTTCAATGTTTTCTTTAACAAAGTCAATATCGTATAACTCTAATGTTTGGAACCATCATGTTTTAAGCCAACCAGAAAAATGCAAATCAAAAAGTTTTTTCAAAATTGCACTTCATAAATTTCAATGAAATCGACAGTAGCGGTCGGAATGATCCCACGCTAAGAAACAAGCGCAAGGTCCACAAAAAAAATCTATGTTATAGACAATTTTTTTTGCACAATTGAAAAAAAAACAATTGAAACAAGTTGTCCGAAGCCTGCTCAACCTTAGTTATTTTTTTCATTCTACGAATGTTTACTCTTCTGAGATTGGAAGCATGATTGGTCACAATCTCCTTCTTGTTTTTCAATACATCGTCCGATGTTTGCATGTCGAGATGGAAACAGACCGGTTGTCCATTTGGTTCATCGACTTGATTCGCTTTTAAAATGCTTTCGTTGCAGTTTAATATCTTTCCTTCTTCACATTTTGAGAAGTATTTATGGCTAAAGAAATAGAAATTAAGATAGATGGAAAAATAAACTGAAATAACTGATGTTTATTTCTAGGTGGTGCTACGTAAACATCAACGTAAAATTTTTACACGATATTAATTTTATTGCCGATGATTCACTCACATCACCAACGAATTGATTAATACACCTCTTATTAATAACTACAATTCGCAGATAGGTACACAAAAGAAGTGTAAACTTGATTCTTAAAAAAGACATTTCAAACGTGTTGAATCTGACACTCATAACCCTTATACAATGTTAAAACTGAAACCAATCAGCATTACCTTTGTTAGTTTTTTGTTTCGTCATTTCACACAATCATCTATAAATCATAATTCACAGAAAGATTATGGCATAAAATATTTAAGAAGTAATCAGACACTTGCTTCAAAGGTTTATTTCTCTATATAATTGTTAACTATGTTTCTCCTTAAATATGTAATGATAAATTTTGATAAAAGATTTTTAGTGTATATAGGATGTCAAATTAAAGATGCATGTTGTACGCATTCTGAAATTTAATTCTAGCAATTTGTTGGAGTACTAATTTATTTACCGACTGTATTAAGGATTATGAGTGTCAGATTCAACACGTTTGAAATGTCTTTTTTAAGAATCAAGTTTACACTTCTTTTGTGTACCTATCTGCGAATTGTAGTTATTAATAAGAGGTGTATTAATCAATTCGTTGGTGATGTGAGTGAATCACCAGCAATAAAATTAATATCGTGTAAAATGTTAGCAAGGTACAGTTAAAGAAGAATATCTCATTCAACAATATCTGCTCTTAAATTTATTTACCCATACGTACCGTACATTTATAACAGGACATAACAGAAAAAATTTAATGTGTGCAGGTGTACATTGTACAACCCATAAGCCCAAATCCCTAATGATTAGTTAATTAAATAAAAGCATAAATTTTTCAAGTAATAATAAAAGTAATGCACAGACACACACTCACACGTCTCAAGTATATCCATTATCATACTCACATGCCAGCCCAAATATCAATCAAACTGGATAATTTGCACGCCATTCGTACCTCATCTCAAACTCAATAGTGAACTCGTCAAACAGAACTTTAATTTAACTTACGGGTTTTGCACTCACTATTTCCTGTGGTAAAGAATTCTATATGGGTATGGTTCTGTTAACAAATGCATATTTACTCATGTTTGTTCTAACTTTTTATCGTATCCTTTAGTTTTCGAATCTGTACCTAATTTTAAATCTGGATATAAATTACTATTTAAGTCATCATTCAAAAATATAAAACAAATTTATCAAATCTCCTCTGATTCTATGCAACTTTAGTTTCTATGCTACGAAAGATCAGTGAACGAGCGATTGAAATAAAGAAAGACTTCGATTATTCTAAAGCTTTTGATGGTGGGTCATCATGAGAAAGATAGATAATCTATTGGAGGCGTGAATATTAACAATGTAAGATGTGCTGATGATACAGCTGTTATAGCAGATTCAATGGAAGAACTGCAAACAATTGTTTCCAAACTGGTTTTTGTAAGTAAAAGAGAAAGCTTGCAAATTAACATCAACAATACAGAGTGCATAGTTATCAGTAAAAGCAAAACCGCACCGATCTGCTCCATGTGTCTGTCACTTGTTGAATGTCACCACATTTCTACTCTTACTAATTGTTGAAGATTGTAGGGGTCGATGGTCGCCAATGTCCTGAAGAATAAGGCACGAGAAAGAAGAAGAAGACATATTTTTATTATGTCAAAAATAATATTTAAATGAAAAAAATTGAAATTTTTCAAACATAACAAAAGAAAACGAATGCATACATAAATAAATGGAAAAAAAAACAAAAAAGCATGAAGGAATGAGCGATGAATAAATAAATGAAAAAATAAATGAATAAATTAATGAGTGAATAAATGAATAAAAAACATAAGATTGGCGGATTGATTTATTTATATTGATCAGCTGAATGAATGAGTCCCCGATGGATTAACGTTTTAAAATTTAATTTTTTCAACTTAAACATTTTTTTACGTGTATATTAATTTTTTCAATTGTTACTAACTTTTTTGATAACTAAAAAAAAATAAAAAGCCTTCATTCCTTGACATATGTGTGTATATTTATATGTGTTTAGGACATATGTTGTCACAGGCTGAAATATATGTTTTCGTTAAAAGCAAAATAATTTTGTTTTTGGTATTAAATGATTGGTTTACGCCAGGGGTGGGCAAACTTTTTGCTGTGAGAGCCGCATTGAGAACTATTTTACATTTGAAGGCCGGCATATGTACTTAAATAGCAAATTTTTCGAACTGGGGGAGAATATTTGAGATATGTGGTACCTTTTTTTGTTGTTCATAATGTCTCTGGCTGACGACTTTTTTTGCGAACAAGCCCTCGCAGGATGCATCAAATAGCTTCGCGGGCCGCATGCGGCCCGTAGTTTCCCCACCCCTGATTTATGCTTTATGATTGTGTTAAATGTTAAACGGTGGACTGACTGTACTATGTATTCTGTATCCAAATAAAGACTGCGCCATGCCAAGGTATGATAACCTCTATAATTTCTAATCTTGATTTGTATTTTCCAGGCTCAGTCATTTGATTAACTAAAATATAAAACAAAATTTAGTTAGAGATAACACCGATGCACCATTTCTTTCTCGGACTCTACGCCAGCAATTTATGTGAGTTCGTTTTCACTCATACTTCAAAGTGTGGATAAAAAAAAACAAAATTTAAAAATTTCCAGATTGCTTTTCAAACATTTATTTAAACAAATCATAAAAATTAATTTTTTTAATTTATATACAGCGATCCATATACATATGGATGATATCCATCATATCAGTTGGCATGTCAATATTGATTGCTTCCTATTTCCTATGTAAAATTAATCCCATTTATTCAATTTTTTATAAAATTTCTATGTATGGCTATAATATTTTGTACAAGAAAGTGTTAAACAGATATATTTTGCCTTCTTTACAGGCAATTTTATTAAAGAAAAACTATAAATAAAAGTGTCACCAATATATTTATAAGCAGCTGAACGCACCCTGGTTTTTAAATAGGTCTTTGTGACCTATTTATGCAGCTGAAAAGTTTTCATTAACTTTTCACTTAATTTCGAAATCTTATTCTGCGTCTGAAAATGTCGGATAGTTAATTAATTAATTAACTAATTAGTTAATTTTAATTGTTATTTAAATTTAATTTTGTAATTTCCGAGCGCCGATTTGCAAAAAAGTAGCGAGGATGATGCTCGACCACTGCAACTTGAACACCATCATGACATCAATGAGAAAAACACCACATCTTAAAATTTAAGACTTAAATTTTAAAAATTTTCAGGTTAGTGTTTAAAACCGTTAGTTAAGTTAGCTAAGTTAGTTAGCCATGTAAGGCATTCAAATTAAATTTCAGTTGTATAAAATTGATTGATTGCTTAATTGATTGATCTATTAATAATTAATTTAGTAACCAAATTTTAGTTGCATTTTAATAAATTATTAATTAATATGATAATTGATTTTTTAATTAATATTTATTTTTTATAATAGTAATAAGGTAAAATGGAGTGATAAATAATTAATCATATTTTATTGATAGTATAATATTCTGCAATAATATTAATAATATCATTTATTTTATTATATTTTAATTGCTAATGATTGATAACTTAACTTATTTATAATTTATTGATTGGATACCAGTCTCAGTCATGTGTCAAGGGAATTTTTATTTAATTTTTCTTACAATGTTTGCTCGTAGGTTCATTTGATTTATAATACATTTCTTATGGCTGCTAGCTTAAATTTGAAATAATATTGCAATGTTGAGTGTTAGATTGAAATTGAATGATTAATTAATGATTAATATTATCATTATTAATTAATTAACTTGCTAATTAATTAATTAATATTAATATATTATTTAAATTAGTTTGGTTGTCATCTTACTTATGGCGAATAAAATTGTGTGGGTAGTGTTGGGATGGTACTTTTGTTGTTGTTTGTATGTGAGTGTGTGCGACTGTGCATGTGTTATGTGTGTGTTTGTGTTTGTGCATGTGGTGTGTTTGTGTGGATTTGTTGTTTGTGTTTCATTTGATGATGACCAGTTTTCATGTTTTGTTTAGTTTAGTTATTTAGTCTGTAATGTAAGTGATGCTCATGACAATGTGGGCACACACACACACACGTACACACACACGCACACACACACACAATTGTCAACAAAAGCTATGATTTCTTACATTTTCTTCCACATTACTTCGTTTTTATCTTATTGACCATTATTCCTTATCTCTGGCTCTAAAGAAAGAGTGGATAGGTGAAGCAATAGTCATTCATCCCATCCACAGAAGTTTTTATTCTCTTGTGAATCTCAAAATAAAAAATTTTTTTCATGTTCTAGCTTTAATCAAGAAAATATCATGCGTGTTTGTATATGTGCGTGTGTGCTCATATGTGCGTGAATGTAGTTTAGTCTATCCACACATAGACAACATGTAAATAAAATATTATATATATATATCTTCACAATTGTGCTACTCTGTTGATATTTGTTTACGTGTCTGTTTATTTCTGTTGATTTGTTTGTTTTTAAATAATTGCCAACCTTTGGAAAAAGAATTCAACAAATGACAAATTCTCTAATGAATGCAATAAACCCATTTTCATAAAATGTAAATTTATTGTACCATTAGGTTAAAATGTTCTCATAATGCATTGATTTCTATTTTGTAATTTATTATCTTTGTTTCTCCCTCTCTCTTCTCTCTCTCTCTCTCTCTCTCTCTCTCTCTCTCTCTCTCTCTCTCTCTCTCTCTCTCTCTCTCTCTCTCTCTCTACTACCTTTTATATTTCCCTATCTTTCCATTGTTTTCTCTCTTTTCTTTTTCTCTCATTTTCTCCCCTCTCCTCTCTCTCTCTCTCTCTCTTTCTTTCTCTCTCTCTCTAATTTAATGTTAGTATGTTCAGCTTCTTACATGTTTTGTAATTTAAAACAGTTGTGCTGTCACTTTTAGATTCAATTTGTTCATTGGCTCATTTGTTATAAATTATTCTAAATTTTATATGTTCCATTTTTTCGATATTCTCTTTATTCTATGTCATTTAATTTATACTCACAATCACAATATACATATATGTTTGGGCAAATGTTATCATGCATGCATGCATGAGATGCATTACATTCCAGAGAGTTTCCACCACACAATGAAACAATCTCACAGCACAACAGCAATATGCATCACATTAAACACATTTAATCAACATCTAACTTGCTAGTATGTGAAGAAAAAAAAATTCTGAATCAATTTAAAAAACATTTGTTGTTGTGGTTATTGTTGTTGATGATGTTTCTTGTTAATTTTATAAATCTCCTCATGCTGTTATCACTCAGCGCTATCACCATCCATGTTATCATTGTTATCACCAACATCAGACATTCTCCCAATGTTTTTAACTCTTTCCTTTATTTCTATCATCATCGTCAGATTTTTTATCATCTCGTTATCATTTTTGTCATCATCATTATCATCATCGTCGTCATCATCATCTCGTTTTTTTTTATATCATTATCATCATCGTCATCACCATCATCAGGAAAATTGAAGGTTGGCATGATTGAAGATACTACGTTTTTTTTGTTTCTTTGTTTGATCCGAACTTTATTTCATTCCATTTCCATTTAAAAATCAAACAAACAAGCATAATAAGCTTGGCAATTGTTATATTCCTTCATATGAAAGAAAATACTAATCACAAATAATGATGCAAATAAATACTAACAATAACATATTAAAATCTATTTCTAAAAACGAATGTGGATATATATGGAGAGCCTATATCAAAAATAACAACTTGCAAATTACAAAGTATCATCATCTTCGTCGTCCTCATCATCGCCACCACCATCATCATTACTATCATTATCATCATCATTATTCTTGACATCATCATCGTTACCTGCTTCATCATCAACAGTCATCGTCATCCTCATCATCATCACTATCTTCATCATCATCATCATCATAACCAGCTTCTTCATCACTGATCACCATCACTGTATCATCATCATCATCGTCTTTTCCTTCTTTGGTTAATGTTTCAAATATTATTTTCCATATTGGAGCAGTTTCATTAAGGCTCTCTCAGTTTTGTTGTAAATATTTCAAAAATTTCTTATTTAGAAGTACATAAACAGCAAATATTTGACTATTTTTACTTTTTACTCATATATATATATATATATATATATATATATATATATATATATATATATATATATATATATATATATATATATATATATATATATATATATATATATATATATATATATATATATATATATATATATATATATATATATATATATATATATATATATATATATATATATATATATATATATATATATATATATCTAGAAAAAAAATAAAATAAAAAAAAATATTTATAAAAATATTT